CGTTACTCAAACGGATTGACCTATGTTTATGGTACTAAAATTTGAAGTCTTGGGGCTGATGAATAAATAGAGTAACGCCAGGGCGGCATCTTCCACACCTGAACCCTACCTATCGATCCATCAACTCATGAACCGGGGACCAACGGCTTTACTTCCCATCCCGGCGGCGCCGACTGGGATTGAACCCAGGCCTGCTGGGGTGAGAGGCAATCACGCTTACACCAGCAGCGTCGCTATACCCACTCAGTGGTCATGAGTTGAAATGATACGGAAGGACAAATATATGTGTAATGTAATGTGAATAAATAATTTAAACGGGATAATTGCGTCACATTAACCTTCGTTAGGTGTTGGGGATAGATATGATCCGAAATAGAAGTTTCAATTTTCATGACAGCAGCAAAAACTAAATGGGGGTACACAAATTTTAACGTTGAAAGTGGGTAAAGACGGACACAGCAGGATAGATCAAAATCTTTGTAGAGTTAATTTAGAACTACAGCCTTTTATCATAAACAAAACTAACTGAAATGATTTATTCGTGTTAGTGATGCAATAGACCAACGTGTAAGATAAATGTCAGAGCGCCTGAGCGCCTACGCTTTTAGAAATTTCTCCATACTACATAATGAGTAAAAGTGACTCACTCTCTGAGTAATACTCGTTTATGTAAACATCATTTTTCGATTTTCTCCATTCAAAATAACTCCCCGTTATTTTTTTTGTTTACTAGCGACATCTGTTGCGAAAATCGACCATGCTGGTAATCCATTCAACCAACGTTAGAGGGATATTTGTAAATATTATAAAATTCTCACAGTAGTTCGTCAAAAATCTTCATTAAACCTGCGGCCGCTGATTACCTTCTATTGGATAGGCTTTTATTTTGGGCCTATAAATAGAACTTGATGGCAACATTTATTTTTATCCTAGAACTTCAAAACACTTTTTCTCATAAAAAAAGATTCAAGATGAAATATTTTAAAACTTTCACAGATTTGATTATTTTTCATATGGATATTGCCGAAAAACAACACAATATATGATTTGGTTCCATTATCGTCATTTTGACAGTTTTAGCTTATTCTTCCGGAATGCCAACTAGCTCATCTAGCTATGAATGGCCATCGTCATTTTTTCGCATCCATTCATGATCATTCACGAACGATTGTGTGGCGAAAAAAAATAAGAGGCGCATGAAGAACTTAGTTAATTCCCAGATAGCTCGCGAGCATCGGGACAAGTGCTATAATAATCACCATCAGTTTACTCGCCGGCTCGTTTTATAATTAATAACACAGATGTTAAGGAGCAGAAGTCATCTCTGTTCCGTGTATACTTTGTATGCTTGTCTTCTTTTCTAGTTAGGAGCGGTAGTGCTTTTCTTCTGAGGCAAATCAACATTGTTATGTAGCTATTATTACTTTTTATTGCCAGTGAGTGATGGTGGTTGTCCAGCGCAGCCGGTACCCCCTTCCCCTATCAGTTAAGTCCACCACTTAGAGTTTGTAGTCGACATTGATAGGAGATACTCCCATTCCCCATTTCAGCAGCGCAGCGGCGAATTGTACATTCCAAGCGGTCCCTTGCATCGCCCGCGTGCTCTCCAAGCACTGACACTGCTGTGTTATGGCTCGTACGATTAGATAAGGAAATAAATACAAAACTTGTGAAAAGTGAAAATTTAAATAAAACAGTACTGAACTACTGACTGTCTGCGGTAGCCAGGGTTGGCGTTTTTGGAGAAATGGAAAAGCCTATTGCTGGATTGTGACTTCTTCTTTGAAAGTAGAAATAAATTTTATCCAAATATAAAGAAAGAGAGAAGGATTAGTAATTCCCAGTTAATTCATCTTCAGTGTCTACCAGGGGGCGGGACACCTTGGCTCAATATTCGACATATTTATTGATATTTTAATTTTCTTGACTTAGACTTAAAAACAAAAGTATCCGTAGAACAAACATTGTTCAGCTCAAAAAGCACTACATTTGACATGTTTTAATTTTCTTAAATACGTACGTAATGTTGATATCTAAAAATATTTGATGATATTTTCAAATTTATCTAAGTTGTCTTGCTTCTTGGTATCTACACTGTGCACATTGTAGACGAAATACACGCATTTTTCAAGGATAAGTGACTACCCCGTTTGGCTTAATGTCATTTGGAATAACTGCCGTTTTGGCATAATGGAAAATCACTACACACGTTTATGTTAAACGGCCTTCAGGTAAAACGGTCGAAAAAATTTTCAAATTGCAGATTGTTCGTCTATGTTGTTTTGTGGCGTTTTGGTTCGATTTTTTGCCGGAGGTGCTCTGCCAGTAGATAACATTTTTCTAGAGAAGTTCGCGAGTGCTGGATTTTATGGCCGAACTAAGGATACTTCCAGGTGCATTTTCAACGGAATTCCGGTATTTGGAGCTGTGGTTCGGGTTTACGATGTTTTCGGTTCCGTCGGAAGTGTAGTATTTTCTCCTGTAAGACTGAAACAGTTTTTCATCGCGTTTATGATGGTGTGTAGCACACCGACCGATTACCAATTACCGACTTCGGTAATTTTTACCGAATTTTCAACAACAACAGAACTGTTCGGTAAAAATCGGGCATTTTAGTTCATTAGTTTTAAAGTTTATTTTTTTTCGATTATTTAAACAAGGTTGACATTGTTTTCAAATTGAAATTGAGTGAAACAGCGTTTGAACTGAGAGTCAAAGTTTTACCGAACGTTCAGCTGTCGATAGTTCGGTAAAAAATTACCGAAGTTGGTAATAATTGCTAAGTCTGCCGATGATCAGATGATGTTAGCATATTATTATTATCATTACTATTATTATTATCTCATTGATATAACTAGGAGCGTTTATTACGGTATGTCCACGCATCCCTCCACCCCTGTAGATTTAAAGAAATGCATCGTTGTATGCATATTATGAACACGAATCATTTCGCAGAATCATCTTTGCGACAAATACAACGCAGAAAGTCTTACCGTTTTGATGTTTGTATCCACTTTTCAGCTCCGTTTATGCGTTTTTTTAACGGCCATGGTAACGTTGTGGTATTGATAAAAAAAAATCAAGTGAATAGTGTTTTAAATTGCTCTCTCGATGTTTTTCAAATGGGTTTCTATCGCTCTATGCCATGATGAATGGTAACGTATGAGGGGCTGCTTATTAACTACGTAGACAGTTTTTTTTTGGATTCTTGACCCCTCCTCCTGCGTAGACAATTGTCCATACAAAAAATTTAAAATTTGTATCGGTCATGGATAATTGCCAACCCCGCCCTAAACTGTCTACGTAGTTAATGAACAGCCCCTGACCGACGCTTAAAATCATTCCAACATAAACGCCACCACTATCACTGACGGCAGCTTCAAGAACCAATGGCCGTGCCAGAGGATTGTTTGTATCATGTCTTAGATATGCTGATCAATATTGACAAGAAAAATGATAAGGCGTCATCTAACCTAGTCATTTTCCAGGATGCTTTCTCGTACTGGCTGCATTTGTATTAGATTAGAATAGAATTTCTAATTGAATGAATTAGAATTTATGCCAAACGGGGTAGTACGTTAAAACTTTTTGCGCGAAGCAGTTGAGCGATATTGATTCGTTCGAGTTCAGTTTTTAGCAGTTATGGCTTCCAGACAAAGCTACTGTCTGTAAAAATAAGAATTGTTTAGGCCTGGGAGATGCCCCAAGATTATTCTTGAAAAACTTAACCCTAAGATCATCATGTTCACAAATGAGCCATACTCAGAATAAATTCATATTAACAAATGACCTTTGATACCCTTCGAACGATTCAACAGGATCAACCCTGTTTTTGAACATAATCAATTTTACTTCCTCCTGCGAACTTCAATGGAAAAAAGTTAGCTTATCAGTGTGGCGTTTATATTGCTCCCAAAGGCAATAATTAAATCGCACAAATACGTACTGGCCACGTCGTCGCGGCTTTGGTAACCTTTTGGCCCACTCCGTTTTGAAACAAGTGGCTGATAATGTACCTACTAAGTAAACTTTTTCTGCTTCTTCTCTCATATCTGGAGACGCTCGTGTTTCTTTTTCGGGGGAATTGTCGTTTGATGGCAGTGTGTGGTTACGTATGGTTTCACGTTCATTAATGGTGTCAATGGCACACAGGACAGGAAATTGTTCGCTTTGGTCCACACTGGTCGTAATCAGCTGAAGAAACAAAATAAAAAATAAAATAAACGAAGTACGGGGAAGTACGAGACTACTATCCATGCACGGGTTAACAAGAACAGTCTCGGGATGAAATTAACACAGATAGACGGTGACGGCAGCCAACGACGTGGACGTGGCAAATTTGAATTCAGGAGAATGCTTGCGTATTTGCGCTTTGGAAAGGGTTTCCCGTGACCAACCGACGATGGCATGGAGGTAAAAATAACCTCATGCGCGTCACATCCTCCTTATATTGTTTACTCCCATGTGATACTAGAGCAGAGGAATTCAGGTCTGTCAGTGGAGAGAACTGGCTTGAACATGGGACAGTTCTGCATAAAATGACAGTTTAAAACTAATCTCTCTCCGTTATGCAAAATTTAATAAATTATTTCAAGTGCAGTTTTGGTAATTTATTTTTTTGGATGGGAATGCCACAAAAAAAAAAGAACACCGAATGGTTACGAGCGAATTTCGATAACTTTTCAGTGATTTTTTCATACTTTTGGGTCTTCTAAATAAATATTTTCATAAACTACAACCAGTTCTGTAAGCTATGAGACAAACTTAAATCATAAAAGTGTATTGCTTAATTTGTAGCAGACTTATGAATGATATTCTCCATCAATGAAACATCCATACCGCTCTGACTATAACTGCGGGGAAGTACCCGGTTGGCCTTCCTGTCAGTAGATTGTTTTACTTTCATTTGCCCCATGCAATTAAAATCAAATAAATCATTGTTTTCTCTTTCTAATCTTCCGTGTATTTTTTCTTCTCTTGTCATGCTCTATCATTCACAGGTTGTGTGTCTCTGCGTATCTGGTGAAGTTGATGGTGAATGTGATCGTGTGTCCAGCAGCGACAACTGCTAGTATCTCCCTATCCATCTTCGAAGCATTCGTACATGTGTGTCCGGTGTGAGCGCGCGTTGTACGAGCAATTGGCCCCGATAATATAGTACGAATATCAGCAATCTTTCGTCCGTCGTCTTGTATTAGCAGGCGGAAAATGTGCGTAATTGGATCATTTGCTAATTGATGGGACACGGCCAAATGACGACAGCGGCAGCTTCAGCTACAACAGCCGGCGAAAACCACCGACTCCTAAGGGGAGCACTGTCTCCGAGGAATCACTCGACGATAGTGCGGCGTTAGTTCTTGCCGCCTCGAAGCTACGCCGGTCATTTTGAATTACGAAAATAATTGAAGAGTGAAATCACCACCGTCGTTGAGATAACGCATTAGAATAAGTGAAAGAGCTACTAATTATTCGATCTAATGTGCTGGTTGTGAAATGTGTTGACCCTAATAAGGATATCGAATGCGCGGTTTTCAAATGGTGTCGAACAGTTTGTAGACTTTGTGGAAGTGTTTAAGTTTATCGTGATCTTTTCGGTTGATTTTGTTTTTGTTTCTACTTGTGGACAAAGAGTGCAATATTGATAACTACTCGAGAAGAAAAGTTTAGATTGATAAGCTGGCTGCGAGCGTCAGAGCAAAACAGGAAGACATAATTGAAACTACGGACCGAACTGTTGGTGGTGGTGTGGGTGCCTCCTCCCATAAAAAGCGATTTTCGATGGTAAAGGCACCTGTGTTACCCTCTGTGCCACAGCAGCAGCAACCACAGATTTATTGTCAAAAGGAGGTCATCGGTCAGCATCAGCAGCAGCTACCGCAGCAGCAACATTTTCATCAATTTTCATTTCCACCCCCGACAACGCAATACTTCCAAATAGGTTCGGTGAAGAAACATCGTCGTCTCCAAATGGCGACGGAACCACCGGGTGGCGGTGGCGGAGGTGGAAGTGGTGTTGTATCGGTAACACTGACCCCGACAACTACAACCACAGCGGCCATCGCAGTGGTAGCCCCGACTGCTCGAACCGTTCCGGTTTCGGTGGCTGCTTCGTCAGCTAATGGAGGTGCTGGTGCAACGCAGATTCTGTCCATGCAGCAGGCAGCGGCCGCAGCATCAGGAACAAATCAACGGATCCAACCGATGCACCACATCCATCACCACCACCATCATCAGTTGATCAATGGGATAGCCACGGTAGCAACGGCTAGTGCGGCGGCAGGAGCTGCGGCCACCATTGCCGCTGCTACTGGTGGCCCGATGCCGACAAATGCAGCAGCTGCAGCTAATGCCGCAGCGGCCGCAGCATGGCCGATCGTGGAACCGGTGTTTCATTTTGGCCCTGGGTTTGAACCCCACTCGCGACCTTACTGCCCAGCACACCCACAGCCTTCGGAGCACGTGGTGCTCTTCCACGTCAGTCCGGGTGTATCGGTGACATTCCAGATTGGCAACAGTCGTGAGATCATACGAGGTGAGTATACGTTGATGTGATTTTGATACCTTGAACTGAACGGAACGGTAGAATTTGATCCAATCAACCACTTAGTCAGAGCTATTTTTCGCCTAGAAATTGGACACATATTACGCTCAGAAAAACCTGACGAATTCAGGACTTTGTCGTTCAGTTTTTTTCAGGAAATTATTTTCAAACAAGCTATGTTTAAGAAAAAAGTTTACGCCCATGCATGTTTTACTACCAAGTCCCAGAGAGCCAAAAAATACAAATCCACGATAGAAAATTCTCTCTCACTAGATCAGTGAACTTGCCATGCATTTCTATGACACACGATATGCATGGTTCAGTGTCAAATTAAAGTGATTTGTAAAAAAAAAAATCATGATAGTAGTGGTTGAAGCTTACTCATCCGGCACGCAATCTGCCTTTTATTTGCCCTCTTTTCTTCTGCACTATTCTCTTTACGACTATTTGATTGAAAGTTACTCGATTAGTAGGTTCGTTAATCGATAAATCGAATAAAATCGAACATCACTAATTTTATTTTTAAATAGATCATTCAGTAAAAGAAAACAAAGCATTCCCCTGACATCAAACATAGTACCTTGTTCTGGAAAGTTGGCCGGTACCCTTATTTATGCATTTAGATTCACATTGTAAGGCCCGCCTTTTTTGCATTCCATATACCAAATAAAACAACAACAGCGCCGGCTACGTCCAAATGCTGGTCAAGAAAGGAATATGTTGACGTAATACTCGCTTTAATGAAAGCCGAAAACACCTCTGCAGTTTCTCGAGAAATCACTGGGGTTTTGGATAAAAGAGTTGGGATTGCAGCAAGATTCGTTTTGGTAAACGATATGCTGAATTGATGTAATAACGATTCAATAGCGCAACCCACGGTCTTCTGTTCAGTAAGCAAAATCAGTCGTCACTAGGCCATCGAGCCTAAAAAATGATTAACTGATCACGTCCAAAGGCTCTGTCTTAATGATTTTTCTGTGTGACAAACTGTAAGTCTAGAATATGCATATGCTCTGACACGTAACGTTTTTTTTACGTGTTATCCCTTTATGAATTGGGCTACTACAGGTATACCTGTATGTAACGTAATTGTAATTTTTGACATCCATCGATCCATCCTCACAAACGATCATTCAGTCAAGTAAAGCTTTAAAACCATCGGAAAGTTGAGACAATCCCCTATCTATTTGGAAATGTTGATTTACAGTATGACCCATAAAAAAATGCGACATTGATTACAGCTTATTTTTGGGTTTATTTTAAAACTGTTTTTACCACTATTTTATATACGTGTATTCGTTAGAATCTCTACTGTCAAGTGATGTAAACAAAACAGTGATTTTCGTTTTAAAAGTTTGCAAAAATGTTCGCAAAAGAAATTGTTACCAGTTTGCTTCTCGCCCAAAAGTCAGTGAAAGAGATAACAAAGATCGTAGGATGCCACCGGTCCACTGTTCATCGAATTAAACGTTCTCTCCTTGCTGGACCACATCCACGGAAGCCAGGAAGTGGACGTCCGCGATCGGCACGCACTCCAGGGGTCATCAGATCGGTCAAAAGAAAAATAACGGTGAATCCGGTAAGATCGATCCGGAAATTGGCAAAACAAGCCAATATCTCCAACACCTCGATGCAACGGTTGGTCAAAGATGACTTGAAGGCTTCGTCTAGGGCTAGAGTGAAGCGCCACCTGATAACGAACCGGATTAAGGGACTGCGGCTTGAGAGATCTAAGCGGCTTCTCTCCATCTTGAAGAAGAAAAAACCAATAATCGTGTTCTCTGACGAAAAACTTTTCAACATCGATCCGGTGTCCAACACGCGCACTGACCGGTTTATTTCGCCGAAGAAGATCGAGGAGGTTCCTGAGAACATAAAATTTAAGTTTACCACCAAGCATCCTGCAGGAGTTATGGTTTTCGGAGCAGTCGCGTCCAACGGCTTGAAAATGCCTCCGGTATTCATCAAAGAGGGTCTAAAAGTGAATACGGAGGTCTACATCGGCATTTTGAAGGACCATCTGATGCCATGGATTAAGGTCAACTTTGGAGAAGACCAATTAGTCGTTTTCCAGCAGGATGGAGCGCCCTGCCATACTTCTAACAGGACCCAAGCTTGGCTCACCGAGAACCTGAATTTTTGGTCGAAGGAGCTTTGGCCCCCCAGCAGCCCGGACTTGAATCCATTGGATTATTCAATATGGGCCTATGTTCAGGCTAAGGCCTGCGAAACCCCCCATCCCAGTGTGGATTCGCTCAAGTCATCCATTCGCAAGGCATGGAACTCGATGCCAGCGTCATATATTACGACCGTGTGTTCCAGATTTCGACCCCGCCTGGAGCAGGTGATCGAGAACCAGGGAGGACACATTGAATAAATGTATTCAAAACATGTCAAATAAACATGGGAAAGCAAAAATATATTTGTTTCAATCAGCAGTTTAGAAGGAATCACATTTAATTGGAAAAAATGTCCCATGTCGCATTTTTTTATGGGTCATACTGTACTCGATTGAATTGTTATTTACGAGATATCGAGAATGGAAGTCAAAACAGTTACGTTATATCGAGGTACAACTGTTTTCAAAGTTTGGTCATAAACTGCCAACATTTGGTATTATAGTTGTGTAGAACACGAAATATGAGTCAAGGAACATTTGAAAACGCTATCTAGATTTTATATACCTCATTTCGGTCATTTGTTTTAATACTTAGAGCGGTACCTAAAAAACGTGACGTGTTAGAACAAAATTATATTCTAGACTTTAACTCTCTCCTCCACTATTTGTATATTTTGATTACATCGCATAATGACTAATCATTCTTCAACATGTTGAGAACCATTCATACATAAAATGTTTAACAATGCCACTGCAAACACAATATTACTGCCTTCAACCTTCGGGCCCGCAGTTATCCGCAGGAGCGAAAGGTTTTCTCTTTTCCTCACATAAATTACTTCAAATCCATCTTGTTGATCATTTTACCGATATTGTTGCTTATAATTACGCCTGTCTGGTCGTTCTTTGTACATTTTACGGCATCGACCAGACACGTTTCCAGTCTCGAGTATGAAGAGCGAAAGCAATCATAGCTCGAATGCACCGTTTTTACGCGCGTTCCGACCATCCATCTGGCCGCGCCTGCCTTGCACCCGTCCTGTTCGAAAGGTCTCCGGTGCCCTCTGTCATCGATGGGTGAACCAATGCACGATGGATAGACAGGGTGCGGATCCTGAACACGAGGCAATACGCTACTCATATGTGCTGCATGAAAAACGGTCGCCCGTCTGGGATGCTGAGTATAACTGCAGACTCTCTTTCTTGTTTACGCTCGACTTGAATCATATTGAAGGTCGAATTTATTAATATTTCGGTTAAATAAATTGCTGATAGTAGCCATTGTTTATACACATGTTCAATTCCAAGCAGTGACTGTCTAGTCGGAACGATATATCGATTATCTTCCTTCGACTACTACTATTTTGCATATTACTCGAAACGAAACGAATATGCACTCAGAACTCGGAGACTCGCTGCTGATCGGGTATAAGACAGGCCGTCACTAAATACATAGGGCACAACAGGGATAGAAGTGGACAATGAACATTACTTCAAATGGATTGACTAATTGATTTTTCTCAAATAATGTTGTTAGCTGTGTAAGAATATTAAAATTGCTGGTTCCCACTATGCCCCATTCTCTCCTATTTGTATATACCGTCTGTCGCTATCGCTGTTACCGTCGCTGCTTTTTTGTTGGCAATACTGTGCTGTGCGTTTGCTGACGTTCGATTATTGGAATCCATATATGCTTATCGGGTCGAATAAATATGCAGTTTCTTACTCATAACAAACAAGCGTTGACAAAATGTGCTCCCATCCATTGGTACCGCGAGTGTGTACCATTCACATTTTTTTGCAAACTTGAGAAATCGCAAATGCCACGATCATGTCCGGCAGCGTTCCCCACTAAACAGTAATCGATCAAATTACGAAACGCGGATATGTTGGGTGACTTTTAGCAACCACCGGCAGCGAGCTTAAAGATATTAAATATTTCCTCTCGTGGCGCTTCCATGGGAGATCCTGCCATTTTCAACCCATTGTATCTGTCCAACCGAGCGAAGCACGACACCGATCACCCTCAGTTAGCTACCTGTGATATTTAAACATTCAACATTGTTCAAAATTAATTGACTTTACTTGACTTTCCGATTACGGATGCAAAATGGCAATAGGGATATACAATAGACGGAACTGAATTTGAAACACAAATCTGCTGTGCTGTTGGGATTGAAGAGGCGTATCGTGTTTCGAGTTCGATAAAATTTGCTACTCCTGCTGTAGCAGGTCAATGAATTAAAATTATCTTGTGCGAATAAATTTGACAGCCTACGTGGAATTTTTCTTGCTTGAAATTATCTATACCTGGTGTTCAGCTAAGGTGATATTTTGTAAATTTAAGGATGCTTAATTTTCATGTGCACAAAAGATACGGAACTTGTTTTCGCTTGCTCAAGACCTATTGAATTATTCACAGATAGAAGTCGTTAGAATTTCAATCGAAACCATATGAAAATGTATTAAACGGCATAGACCAAACAGGTGTTATTTAGCAGTGTCTTAAAACGATGTAGAGTGCATGTTTTGACCTCACAGTCTTATGGAATTCTCTAATATAGTTTATAAAGACAATTCGTGGACAACACACCGATACAGGGCCTTGCCGTTTTTTGGCAACACATAATTTTTACTATCTTGAGAAGTCATCGAATGTTTTATTCCATTTCTGATTTTACTAGATCAAGGGGCGACTCCGGAGCAGTGGTTAGCATCCATTCCTCTCACGCCAAAGTCACGAGTTCAAATTTCACCCCCGGACTAGTCACGAATGATCCAAGAGCGTTAAAGTGACTATAATAGTGTTTGGTTTTTCATTTAATAAAAAACATTTTTTTCAATTAGCATAAAATTCTTATTCTTTTTTTTT